GCACTAAAAAGAAAACACCAATCGTCCTACATCGCCAAAATTACTGACTCCCAGGGCAGAACACACAACAGAACAGAAGAAAGAGCACAAGCTTTTAGCTCCTTCTAACCCAATTTATACAATCTTCCCCCACGACGGGTTCCCACACCGACATAACAACCTTTCTGGACACTAGCATATCACACAAGCTCTCCCATGAGACCAGAGAACTGGAACAGGCAATTAAAATCTCCCCACAAGGGAAATGCCATGGCCCAGATGGCCTCATGACATAATACTATAAACTCTAGTAATCTTATCTATCTGGCTCTCTCTTGGAGGCACTAAACACATCGGACCCCAGCTCACCCTCCGCCCATCTACGCTGAAGCCTGGGAAGGACCCTACCTTGTGTGGCAGTTACATGCCCTTTTCACTAATCAATGTTGATCTCAAACTGTTCGTATTAAGCCCCATTTGCCTGGACTGGTCCACTCAGATCAGGCGGGATTTGTGCTAGGCATGCAACAACACGACCCGGATCCTTATTGTGATCTTCAGGGCGACACACACTAAAACCCGTACAGTGCTCCTTCCCATCGATGTAGAGAAGGCATTTGATTGAGTGGACTGATCCCATCTATTTTCAGCTTTAGAAGCAGTGGGGCTTGGGACAAGTTTTTGAGACTGTATTCGTGACCCCTACACAGGTCCATTAGCTTCGGTCCAGGTGAATGAGCAAAACTTCCCAACTTTAATGATAAGCAATGGCACATGTCAGGGTTGCCCCCTATCTTCCTTAATTTTCATACTGGCCTTAAAGCCCTTCCTTCAGGCAATATGTAGCAATAGCCGCATCGAAGGATACAGCTACCCAGGAGGCGAGATAAAGATCTCCGCCTTCGCAGATGACATCCTATTCTTTATCACTGACCCAACCAACATCCTCCCACAAGTAGTTGCTGAGTTAGTGCACTTCGGCTCTATGTCCAATTTTAGACAACATAGACAAATGTGAAATACTTGACCTGGGTATACCTAGAGACAAGAAGGACCAACTGACTGACTCCCATGGATTTCGATAGATGACAGGGGGCATTAAATACTTAGGAGTGCAGATAACACCCTACGCTGGCAGGCCTCTACAAATCAAACTATATACCCCTCTAAGATAAACTGAAAAGCGAACTGACAAAGTGGAACTGTCAGGATTACTAGTTGATCCAGCACGTAGAATTGTGTCACACAGATGACTAATAGGTAATGTATTACCGGGCCTTAGAATGGCCGGACTTAACTTACCAAAGAGTAGTCAGGATACTTGCCAAGGTCAGGGGATACAGAAAGAGACACAACCAAAAGGCAAAGCCAGAAGTCAGGGATACCAGAATACAGGGAAGACAAAATCAAAGCCAAAGTCAAAAACCAGAAGAAACTAGAATCAGGAAGGCACTCTCAGACAACCACTAGGGAAACCACCATTTAGGGTGTCTCATCGGGTAGAGGTTATATTGGGGCAGGATGAGAACTGGGCCTAAATACCCCTCCTCTGGATCTGATAGGCTGTAATCTGCCTTTGACCCCAAAGGCAGTTATCAGGTTACCATTTGCATAATTGCTGCTCAGCACAAACCTTCACGTGGATTTGATTGCTGCTTAGCAACTCTTTTCCAGTCAAGACAGTAATGTTGCTCGGCACAACTTTTCCTGTCAGAACAGTAAATGTCATTAATCACATTTTTATATGTGGATGAATACATGACAGGAACCTCCCTCAGTTCTCTCTCATGGGCAGGATCAACATCATTAAAAGGATGTCCCTTCCAAAAGTACTATGCCTCATGCAGACACTCCCCCATCCAATTACCCCGCACATTGTTTACTACAATTAAATCATTTAGTAAAGTGGGAAAGAGAGCGCAAAAAAAAAAAAGATATATAGTTAACTTGTATGTAATGGTACCTCCAAATTGCAGCTGCTAAACAGAAAAATAATTTTCCCAAATTCAATGAATAGAAACTTTTTTTTTTTTGATTTTTTGATTTTTTTTTTTATTAGAAATTTTTTGATTATGTTGTCAGCGCTTAGTAGATAATCCCCTTGAATTTAGTTCGGAGTATACACATTTACAAATGTATCTGCAACAATTAGAAACAACTATGTGATACAAAATCTAGCATAAAAAGTGTCAATGTTGCTGATTATAAAACCAAACAAAGAAAAAAATATAATATCACAATCCGGTACATATGATTAGTGATGTACCGAACGGTTTGCCGGCGAACGGTTCCTGGCGAACATAGCATGTTCGCGTTCGCCACGGCGGGCGAACATATGCGCGGTTCGACCCGCCCCCTATTCGTCATCATTGAGTAAACTTTGACCCTGTACCTCACAGTCAGCAGACACATTCCAGCCAATTAGCAGCACAGCCTCCCTAGCAGACCCTCCCACCTACTGGACAGCATCCATTTTAGATTCATTCTCAAGCTGCATGCTTAGTAAGAGGAGGGAAAGTGTAGCTGCTGTTCATAAGATAGGGGAAAGCATAGCTAGGTTAGGGATAAGGGTATGCTTTTTTTTTATTTTATTTTTCTATGTAATGTAAATGCACTTAGTTGTCTGCCACTGCTGCCAGCTTCTGTGTCAGGCTCACAGTGCCCATTTCCTCAGTCAGTGCCACCAATTACATCTGGTGTCACAATAGCTTGGATTTAAAAACAAAAAACTTTTTTCACTGTTATAGATTGAATAGCAGTCAGTGTCCTTAAAGCGGTGTGTTACGCTAACAGTGGATACGGTGCCCAGTGCCACCACTCACTGGTGTCATAATAGCTTGCATTTAAAAACAAAAAAACTTTTTTCACTGTTATAGATTGAATAGCAGTCAGTGTCCTTAAAGCGGGTGTGTTACGCTAACAGTGGATACGCTGACAAGTGCCACCAATTAGATCTGTGACACAAAGCTTGGATTTAAAAAAACAAAACACTTTTTTCACTGTTATAGATTGAATAGCAGTCAGTGTCCTTAAAGAGGGTGTGTTATGCTAACAGTGGATACGGTGACCAGTGCCACCACTTATATCTGGTGTCACAATAGCTTGGATTTAAAAAAAAAACACTTTTTCACTGTTATAGATTGAATAGCAGTCAGTGTCCTTAAAGCGGGTGTGTTACGCTAACAGTGGATACGCTGACAAGTGCCACTAATTAGATCCTGTGTCACAATAGCTTGGATTTAAAAACAAAAAACTTTTTTTACTGTTATAGATTTAGTAGCAGTCAGTGTCCTTAAAGCGGGTGTGTTACGCTAACAGTGGATACGCTGACCAGTGCCACTAATTAGATCTGGTGTCACAATAGCTTGGATTTAAAAAAAAAATAATCTTTTTTCACTGTTCTAGATTGAATAGCAGTCAGTGTCCTTAAAGCGGGTGTGTTACGCTAACAGTGGATACGGTGACCAGTGCCACCAATTAGATCTGGTGTCACAATAGCTTGGATTTAAAAACAAAAACACTTTTTTCACTGTTATAGATTGAAT